TCTTGGACTTTGTTCTGAGTGAGTCTCAACACCTGGTGAAAGATGTAGAGGTTGTTACACCAATTGGGAACAATGGCCACAATTCTATTAAGGCCCCGGTCACACGAGCTGGAAAATGCGGGGGGGGGGAGCGTGGCTGTTTGCCCCAGAACAAAGTAACGTGCGGCAGCCCAATCAGACGTCCTGTCGAGGTCCCGTGGTTAGGCCATTAGGTGCCAATCACATGGCTAGTCTGCAGCGTGACAAAGAAGCAGTATGGCATGATCACACCGGCAATCGCGCTGCGCTGCTTCCGTGGCAAACAGGAATTTTTTTTGTCTCACCGAAGTTTGCGCATGTGCATGATCGTTTGTGCGCATCCTGTGGAGACTTAAAAAACAACAACATCCAGTTTGCAACGGGACATGGGTGGGCCCCGGACGCCATGGGTTTCCAGCGGAAACGCGATCAGACGCCTGCCCTTGCCCCGCGTTTTCCGGAAACTAGTACATTGTATGTGGTGGTTTTTTACTCTGCATCTTCAGCAACAAGCCACGGGTTAGCCACGAGTGCACTACACTTCCCAGATGTTGCGGTGTGATCGTGCCCGGAAAATCCGCCTATCATCCATGTCTTCAGCGTAGCAACTTCTCCATGTGAACGGGGCCTAAGTTAAGCATTTAGGTCAATGGAAAGTTACCCCTAAAGTCCAAAGCTGTTACATTTGATTTCAAAAGAGTGAACTTTAAAAAAATGAGGGGAATAGTAAAAAGGAAGCTGAAAAGGAAACACAAGAGAGTCAATTCCCTAGACGATGCTTGGAAGCTATTTAAAACCACACTTTGAAGCCCAGATAGAATGTATTCCACAGGAGAGGAAAGGCTCTGCTAAGTCTAAAAGAAGGCCTGTGTGGTTAACAATGCAAATCAAGGAAGCTATATAAAGTAAAGAGGCTTCTTTAAAAAAGTGGAACGTCTGCCTCAATGAACTGAACAGCAGGGACCACAGGCTCTGGCAAAAGAAATGTAAGTCAATAATTAGGCATGCAAAAAGAGATTTTGAGGAGTGAGTAGGTAAAAGCATCAAGACAAACAATAAACATTTCTTTAAATATATCCAGAGCAGGAAACCTGGCAGAGAAGCAGTGGGGCTGCTGAAGGAAAGGGATTGCTGAAGGAAAATAGGGAGATGGCAGAGAAGCTCAGTTACTTTTTTGCTTCTGTGTTCATGTACCCATGACACAGCTCCTATTTTCAGGAAGGGAGTTCGAAGAACTCAGTCAAATTGAGGTGACTAGAGATGAAGTTCTACACCTACTGGGGAAATTAAATACCCGTAAGTCTTCAGGTCTTGATGGCATACACCCAAGAGTTATTAAGGAACTCAGATGTGAAACTGTTGATCTACTAACCCATATATGTAAACTATCACTTTAGCTGCTGTACCAGAAGACTGGATAGTAGCTAATGTGACACCCAGAGGGTAGCCAGGAAATTACAGGCCAGTCAGTTTAACGTCTGTCCCAGGCAATTTAGTAGAAATTGTGATCAAAGACAGAATGGTTAGGCACAACGAGGGACAAAGCCTGCTGAGGGAAATTTAGCATGGCTTCTGCAAAGGCAAGTCCTGCCTCCCCAACTTTTTGGATTTCTTTGAGAGAGTGAACACACATGTAGACAATGGTGACCAGGTAGAGCCAGTTTGGTGTAGTGGTTAAGTGCGCGGACTCTAATCTGGGAGAACCAGGTTTGATTCCCCACTCCTCCACTTGCACCTGCTGATGTGACCTTGGGTCAGTCACAAGCTCTGGCACAGCTGTCCTTGAAAAAGAGCAGTTTGTGCCAAGAGTTCTCTCAGCCCCACCCACCTCACAGGGTGTCTGTTGTGGGGAGGGAAAGGGAAAGGAGTTTGTAAGCCGCTCTGAGACTCCTCTGGGTAGTGAAAGGCGGGGTATAAATCCAATCTCTTCTTCTCTTCTTCTTCTTCATTATACACCTGGACTTTTGACATGGTACCTCACCAAAAACTCCTGAGTAAAATTAGCTGTCATGGGATAAGAGGACATATTCTTTTATGGATTAAATACTGGTTAAATGACAGGAAGCAAACAGTAGGAATAAATGGACAATCCTCACAATGGGGGAAGTAAGTAGTGAGGTCCCACAAGGATTGGTATTGGGGCCTGTATTATTTAATCTATTCATGATCTGGAACTGGGGATGAGTAGTGTGGTATCCAAGTTTGCGGATGACACAAAATGATTCAGGGTGGTGAAAACCAAAGCTGACTGTAAACTCCAAGAGGACCTCCAGAAACTGGGTGAATGTTGTAAATGAAGTTCAGTGTTGTTGGTAAGTGTAGGGTGATGAACACTGGGGCAAAAATTCTTGACTTCAGATATAGGCTAATGGGGTCTGAACTTGCTGAGTCTAAGAGGGAAAAATATCTTGGGGTCATAGTGGATAGCTCAATGAAATTGTTAACTCAGTGTGCTGCAGCGGTGAAAAAGGCAAACTCTGTGTCAAGGATATTATGAAAGGGATTGGGAATAAAATGGCCAATATTATAATGCCACTGTATAGATCTATGGTGCAGCCTCATTTGGAATACTGTGTACAGTTCTGGTCACTGTATCTCAAAAAGACATTGCAGAGCTGGAAAAAGTACAGGGGGCAACGAAGACGATTAGTCTGGGACTTTTCAGATTAGAAAAGAGATGACTAAGGGGGGGATATGGTAGAGGTTTATAAAATTATGAATGAGTTGGAGAGAATTGACAAAGAGAATTTTTTCTCTCTCTCCCAAAATACTAGAACTCAAGGGCATCCAAGGGCATCCAATGAAGCTGATGAGCAGTAGGTTCAGGACAGACAAAAGGAAATATTACTTTACACAGAAGAGTGATTAAAATGTGGAATTTGTTGTCAGAGGATGTAGTGATGGCCACAGGAACAGACAGCTTTTAAGGGGGATTAGATAGATTTATGGAGAATAGGTCTATCAGTGGCTACTAGCCATGTGACTGAGGGGAACCTCCACATTCAGAGGCACTAAGCCTCTGAAACCCAGAGCCAGGAGGCAATGTCAGGGGAAGGCCTCTGCCTCTATGCCCTGTTGTTGGCTTTCCAGAGGAACTGGTTGGGCATTGTGTAGACAGAGTGCTGGACTAGATGGACTACTGGTCTGATCCAGCAGGGCTCTTTTATGTTCTTAAACTTGGAAACCTCACTGTAGCCATAGAGGGAGCACTCCCTCCCCTTCATTAGGAAACTGAAACCAATCATCACCTCTTTCCCCAAATTAAGAAGAGATCCCAGATCTTCTCTGCCTCCTCAGGGCAAGAGGTTTTTCAGAAGAGCCAAGGAGGCATCACCTTTGTCTTTGTAAGTAACAGCCATTCAGAAGCAGCTGTCTCAATTTTTAAGATAATGCTTGACTTAAAACCTCTCAAAACGTTGTGGAATCTCCAAATATTGTTTGATTGGTTCTGCCATGTGGCAGCCATTTTGCAACTGGGCCTGTCCCACTGCCGCTATTTCACAATGGTACCCAGTGTCCTTTCTCAACATTGCAGAAGAACCCACAAGCTCCCTATGGGCCTCATGTCTCCCTTAGGATGTTCTGTAGGTTTCATGTTTCCCCCTTGGAATGTACCCCCTGTTGCTCTGGTTTCCTATGTAAGCCAAGTGGCTGACCATTTGCTCAAATTGCCCCCATAAACCAAATGCCTCTGCTGAAGCATGGCAGAGACGCACGTAGGCTCCTGGATAGGAGGGGCTCAGGGATCATCTTACTGCAGAGGATGGTTCCTGGACCCAACCTATCCCCACCCATTTACCATGACGACCCCAAATTTGGAAAGTACCTGTCTCATTGTGGTTGGCTACTGGCCAGGGCCGGTCATAATGAGATTGGGGTTCAAATTGGCTAACCCTTAGAGAGGAGCTCACTTTTTTGGCTTGCTCTCTCTCTGTTCCTGCATGTACCCTGGAATGCTGTCTCTGCCATGGGATGAGACAGAACAAAGGATTCTTTGTGAGCTGAAGCACATGGCTCTGTGCCCACAAGGATGGAGCTATTCTTTCTCAAGATACTGGACTCTTACTATGGACTATTGACCCTCCTTGCTGTTGGTAAATATGCTCTATCGTGTAGTTAGGCAAAACATTGCCAGCTTGTTATTTTATAATCTTTTCTAGTCTGATGGCAAGTCTGTGATAAATAAACTCTATTCTGTTTACAACTTGTGTCTGATTGATGTACATTTGACTCCAAGCTTAAATCCTGTTGCCTGAAACCGCTCTCCCAGTTAAACTACTTTATGGTATCAAGTCCCAGAGGCCAGTTAAGAGTCTGAACCTTGCTCTTGGACTGGAAGGGACTATAGTTGAAAGGTTCTGGTGGCTGTGTCTGTAAATCCAGAGAGACTACCTCTCCTGGGTTCTTGTGTAATTCATTGTTTCAGTCAATGAGTCTTTCTCTTCCCATTCCTGGACTGGTCTGGGGAAGAGAGAGAACCATGACACTGCCGCTATTTCACAATGGTACCCAGTGTCCTTTCTCAACATTGCAGAAGAACCCACAAGCTCAATAGGCTTGTAGACCCCTGGTATATACCAGCAGGTTCATGAAGGAATGGGCAACTTGGCTACTCAGAGCTACTAAGTATTCAAGCCTGATCTCATTTATGCCATTAGAATGTTAAACCAGCAACAGGCTTTTAAGGATCCCTTTCCATAATGTGAACAGCACTGTAGATAACCCCTTCAGCCTGGATGATTCATGTCTCAGCTATGCATGAAGAAGTGCCAACCACTAAGGTTGAGTCATATATTGCTTCAGTCTATTGAAATGCCATGTTTTGTTCACACATATGGTTTTACATAGATTGCTTTTTTATGATCAAGTTTGCATTTGGCCTTTTAAGCCACTACATATCCAAAATTGAGAAGAAAAAACGACTGACTTCTTTCAGTTTACAGATGAATGACGAAGTACATAAAATAAATATAAGAACATACCAGTGTAGTCTTCGTAACATTCACAAGTGTAGCCTCCCTCTCGACTTCTGCAAAGACCATTGTTTCCACAAGGATTGGAGTAGCAGAGGTCAATCTCCGTTTCACAGTAGTCACCTGTAAATCCTGGAGGACACCGACACCTCAAGCCATTGATGGGGTGTATAGGTCGGAACAAAACAGTGTTGGAACTGATGAAGGGGGCAGAACTGTCAAACTTGAGTACAGACACACACTTCATGTAGTTTTCACAAGGTTCTCGGAGACAAATGTTGTCATCAAAAGGCAGTACTCTTTGGGTTGAAATCATTGTGAGGAGTGTCCTGTTAAGGTATATCTGCTCCTGGAGGTCCTCAGAGGGGAAGAATTTGTTTCGAATGCCACCAGGAAGCAAGGCAGAGAATGTCACATTTAGAATATTGGAGCTGACATCCGTGTCATTTTGAATGTTGAAGACAAAAATGCCTTCTTTGGTTGTCGACAGCACAGTCGCCACACCTTCTACAAAAAGAGCAAGCAGTGGAGAGAGAAACTTCTCTTGAGACATGTTTTCTAGCCGTACTGTGATACTGTTGGTCAGCATGTCATCTGTGATGATAGTCACCCGCAAGGTACAAAATGCTGTAACACTGTGAATACCATCTAGAAGGGGAAAGAGAGAAGAATCAGAGACTTTTTCCAGAAGTGCCTTCTCCAAGGTGCTTTCATGCACTATGCTGCTTGGGTGTTCTCTAAAATGGGAATCATGTAGCACCTCATGTGCTACTGCAATAAATAGAATACCAAGTAACTTTTCAAAAAACCAAAGCTGTGCAGAGTTGGAAAGAGCTTATAAACTGCAACTGCATTACCTGGTTCTCCTAGCAACAGTTATCCTGTCATACTCCAGTCAAACAGCACAGCTGTGAGCAGGCCCTGACAGCTTTGAGGTAGGTAGGATCAAGGAAGTTCTCTAGATAGGATGTGAACATATTTCAGACAAATAACTGGTAATTTACAGTTAATGCCATGGAACTATTATTTCTATAGCACAACATTCAAATTATCTATAAAAAACTCAAACTCAAGGAACTAAAACTATATTATGTCAGGAGGAAAAAATATATAAACTGGTTTATATTCAACAGATTTAAAAAAATTAAAATAAGCTTTAGCACTGCCAACCAGTGGTCCTACTAAACTGAGTTAGTGTGAGCTAGCTCACAGTTTTTTAGCCTCCGGCTCACACATTTTTGTCTTAGCTCAGGAAGGATGCCTCCAGAGCAAACTAATTTCTGCAGCAGCCAAGTCACTTGCTTACATCTTTAATGTCAGTAGCTCACAAGGTAGAATTTTTGCTCACAGGACTCCACAGCTTAGAGGGAGCATTGTTGCCAACCCCACAAAGATTAGAAACCCAGATCAAGAGAACTGTTCCAACACTCATTCTAGAATTTCAAAATGCAGGAAAAAAATTGAAATGATCATGCTATAATATTGATCAGGGTCTCCACAGTGGCAACTGTGCACACAGTGGTGCCCACTGGCAGCTTTCTCTGGGGCCCGCCAACTTAGAAAGTGGACAGGGCCAGCTGGGACATTGGCCCAGCAAGGCTTCTGATTGGCTGTGAATATTTTTAAAGGTTGCTTTGTCAAAGCATAAGGATCTTCACTGCATGTCTACAGGTAAGCTGTGTCTATGCAAGAAAATATCTAATAAAATATGTTCCTTTTAAAAGGGATCTATTAAACAGAATTTCTGCTTGAAATGTTGAAGATTTACTATAAAAGTTATGCATAAACTCACTCCTTGATATTCAGTGGTTGACTCCATCTCCTGTGGCGGCCAATTGCAAAAATGCCCAGAGGCTCAAAAAGGTTAGGGACCTCTCGTCTTGATTTTTGAGATCAGTCTTATTATCTAACAGTTCTCTCCTTTCTTTTGAAAACGTGCAAGTGATGTGACCAGTTTCCTAGATATACATGAAACTGAAATTTATTGGGTAACTTGTGATTTAAGACCAAGTTAGATGAGATGGACATTCCTAAATTCACCCTGGGGTGCACTGCCATTTTGAACTGTGTGTTCCCATCCAGGAACACCTTTAGACTGTGCTACAGGGGTCTAGATTGGTCCTTAGCAGTTCCTAAGCTGGTCCACTCTGAAGCCTACTCAGGTCTATTTAATGGGGTTTACTCCCAATGAAGTGTTCTTAGGATTTCACTATTAATCTCTAAAAGGCCAAAGAAAAGACACTGCGGGTTATACTTTTTCTAAAGGTCCCTTTTCTCCATCAGTGACCCTAACAAATTAATATTCTTGCATCCTTCTAAACGTAACTGGCAGTTATTTTGCTTAGGATAAAGTCAGACACATTGCTTTTGAGTATTCAAAGGTAGGTAAATTCTAATGAAAATGTTTATGAAAACAGTTCTAGTTTCTAGTAGCTGGTTCCCCATAAACAGCCAACTGTGTACTGTTCTTATAAAAGTACAACTTACATATTATACAAAACTTAACTTAGAAATTGAATAAAATAACATATCCAGTTTCTTAGTGTATCAACAACAATTTTGCAGCAAAACACTTTAAAATTTAAAAATCTGAGCCCTTCAGAAAGAGAACCACCATAAGAGCTGCATAAGTATATTAAAACCAGTGTAAAAGGTATATTTATCACTAGTGATCACTTTGGATACACATTCTTAGAAATGGCTTAGTGGCTTGGGAGTACAGTGTCTTTGCATCCTTTACCATCAATCATTCTGAAACCCGATTATCAAGCAGAAACATAGCTGAAATACTTAAACATCAGTGGCAGACTGCAACACACAAGAGCATCAAAGAGTTTGTGCTCTTCACTTGAATTGCCTCCTTGTTTGTACTCCCTCCCATGTTGTGGCCATTGCCACCCACACCCACATTTTTATCCTAAAACAAAAGCCATAGTTTTTAAAAGCCTCATAACAAGTTAACATGGAATATCAAGACCCCAAAATGAGATGGGTGGGCAATTTGATTGAAAAAGATAAGCAGTTCCCAGTCCTGAAGCACCTATGAAAGTAAGTAAATTACTTAATTTTTAACAAGGTCCTTTTGACTTCTCATTTAGTACATAAGAACATAAGAGAAGCCAGTGTTGGATTAGGCCAATGGCCCATCCAGTCCAACACTCTGTCACACAGCGGCCAAAATACCAGGTGCCATCAGGAGGTCCACCAATAGTCAGGTTATAAATTGTGCTCAGGTTATAAAATACATGTACTGCAAGTAGAGTAAAATTTGTGGGGTAAAAACTTTCCTTCCTGCCATCCTTCTTGTTTTATCCAGCTATGCTCCCTAAAATACAGTTCCTGGGTGGGGTTGGCAGTGGTCCTGTGGACCCTTGGGAACAGTGTGGGGGGTCATGGGGGAGCCTGCAGGTGGAGGGGAGAATTGGTGGGAAACTGTTGTTAGCTGAACTGCAGGCAAAACAAGACTGAACCCTGTGTTCCTAAGTGGTTTTACACTCCTCTAAACCAACTGACTTCAAGAGACTTAGAAGGGTGTAACTCTGTTTAGGATTGCACAGTTAGGAACCAACAAACCATATTTAAGCTTCTTACTGGATTATATGACAAGTAGTTCAATCAAAGTAAAAATGGCACCACCAGACTGAATTGCAATTCCACGGTGAAGGACTGCTTTAACAGAACAATAGCTTGAATTCACTATGGTCTGTACTCAACTCTTTAGTGACTGTCATAAGCCCCACCACCAACAAAATGATTTTGAAATTTATATATACCTGAACTAAATTTTATAGATGTACATGAATGCCTCAAAACCATTTGCCAAAAGATAATAATGATGGAGATCCAGAAAGATGTAGATTAGAAAGTAAATATTAACAAAATATTCAAGTTCAATCTAACATATATAACTAGCAATTACGTGGACAAAGCACATTGTGAGCATGATCCAGTTTCAGTAAACAAATTTAAGTATTTGCTTGGGCTTTAAATAGAGTTGCCATTCCCCAGGTCTGCATTTTGGGGGCTTATACCCACCACCGGCCAACTGGGGAAACCCCATCCCCACACATGCATGTCAGGAGTGTTGTCATCACATCTGTCAGGGCTGCTCCCGCCCTTCCCCAGCATGATCGGGTGGTGTCACACCCCGTCTCCACCTTCAGTGGGCCCCCACCAGTCACTATCACTGAAGCAGATCTTTCCCCACCCCTGGAGATTGCCCAAGGTCTCAGATAGGCCGAGAGAGGGAAAGATACTTCACTGTTCTCCCCACTCAGATCTGCTGGTGCCCAAACCTTCTCTCTTTCTCTGGTCCTTTCAAGCCGGCTGGCTTGGCAAGAAGAAGGGAGGTATGTTCACTGCCTCCACCTCCTCGTTGCGGTCCTGGCAGTTGGAAGGGGCTGGTTGCTTCGCAGGGACCGGAGGGCGATGGCCCCACCACCCTGATGTCACTGATGCAATGAGGTCACTTTCAGGTGACGTTATCACACCGGGGATGACCCTGCCCACTCCTGGAACACCCCCCAAATCCCCCTGTCAGCAAGATGAAGGGACCTGGCAGCTCTAGCTTTAAAATAATAATAATAATAATAATAATAATAATAATAATAATAATAATAATAATAACAACAACAACAACAACAACAACAACAACAACAATAATAAAGCAGCACCCAATGTGCTGTTGGTACTCAATAAAGCAAAACAGTAGCTGTTTGTGGCAATTCATTTTTCTTAATGAACTAGTCCACTTGGCTCATTTTCAGCTTTAATTTCTTCAAATGTTTTTCAGGCTTTCTTTGACACCGAGTAGAACAAATACACAGATTAAAACAAAGACATGGAGCATGATCTTTAAAACTCCACCACAATGAAATCATTTTTGATAATGATTGCAATCTAAATTCATTGGGAATCAGTTACAGCTTCCCACTGATACTGGGAGGACACGGATTGCACTTCAAAGGTACAGTCCACATACCACTGAAATAAATGGCAGCACTTCTGTAGTTGTTAATAAACACAGACTGCACAAAGTCTTCAAGAGCACAGGCCATACATTTCAGTGCACTGGAAATACAGGATACATCTTGTTACACTTAATAAACTCAAAGACAGAGTGAACAGACACTCTGGAATTGAAGAGCATGAGCTAAGTATTCTTGTTTACTCTACCAAATCTGACACTGAGATACAAGACTGAAGTTCGTTCCTGGTTCCCAGTTCAACAGAGTGCTTGTGTGATTCTACTGTTTGCAACACAATGTATTCTTATGGCACCTCTCACAAAACTATGAGGAAGAAAAGGTTCTGAACAAAGAGCCCTTTCTCTGTAAGGAAAGCACAATAGTATACATCACATGGTATGTGTTCTGAGAAGATCAAAATGCTATTGATTGTGTGAGAAGCCACTGGAGTCCAGAAACTGTCATAATCAATATCAACTGTCACAATATACATGATAGCTTTCCCAGCATTCCCAGCATCTGTTCTGACACAGTTAATAAATCACCACAAAAGCACAGTGTCAGACACTATAAAGCTTCATCATCCAGAGGAGAGCACAAAAGGAAATTGGGCATGAATGCAAACTGCTACAGCTGTTCTGAAATACAAGGTATTAATCAGTTGAAAATAATTTAAGCCAACCCATTATAATGTGTTTTTAATTCCAAATTCAAAAATGTCAACCTTAAAACTTTTAAAGAGTGCAATTTTAAGCAGGTAACAGGGAAGTCAACAAGCTGAGAAGGGCGAAACTCTTGTTTAGGACTGCAGTGTTTGGTGGACTGTCAGCCTGTGACTAATTGCTACAGACATGGTACTATTTGTTTGTTAAAGGAGAAATCCACACACAAGAAAGTTCATTAAAATGAGGAAGGACTTGTCCTGGGTGGTTATGAAAGTACAACTTGCCTGATTCTGAAGTCCTCGGCAAATAAGAACAAAGAAGCAATGAGCTAATAAAACTGGTGTCCTAACACTTCTTGTGTCAGCAATCTTGCCTAAAAGGGTCACCAACCTTTGCCCAGCATTAGGCATGATGTTATGAATGAACTGCCATGATGTTACAGACAGTGCTGCAAACATTTAACACTAGCTCAAGGACTTATGATTAAATATCTAAAGTGAAAGAAGATGATCAAGTTTTAACAAATCCTATAAAAGGGAAAACCAAATACTGAATCTGAGGCTGCGATCAGACAATAGGTTTAGCGTGGTCTGGCTCCGCCTCTAATTAATTCAGATTATTTTGTAATGGAGAGTTTTGGTCACACTTCCCACCCTTAACCTGCTTCACAGCACGCTCATTCTGTGGTTGATCAATGAGATTATTGCTGTGCAGCAACCACAGAGTGGGCAGTCAGGCAGCTTTTTAAATCATTTGTCTTCTGAGTGTGTATAAGCACATATTGGAAGCAGTGGTGGAAACTCCTGACAGGATGACGGCAGTTGGTGGCCAATGGGATTGCTGAAGGAGGCTGCTGGGATATGTTATGCAGCATGGGGGAAGTGCTTTTGAAACTGTGCTTTGGAGGTTTTCTTAAGAAAAACACTGTCTTGAGAAGCCCCCATGAGAGAGGGGGGGATGTCTGTAAACTGTATGTAAAAAATAAATGCACAAGAGGTGATTGAAAACTGAGGTGGGGGCGGAAACGGATAAAAAAGGTGGGGTGGAAACGGAAGGGAAGGTTCACACTTCCCAACCGGCTTGAGTTTGCAACAGGGGAATTCAGAAATCCAGAAATGCGGGGTGAAAGCGCTGACATCCGTAAAGATCAGACTTTCCCTGGTGCCTAATAACTCCAATTCGAAGGCAGGTCAGAACAGGGTGCCAATGACTGGGGAACCGGAGGCAGATGTTGCTATCTGGTCATGCACTTTAAATCTGGAAGGGACTAGCAATGACATTGGATGAAGCTGCTCGTCTGACCACAGCCTGAGTGAAAGATTCTAATATCTGTGTACTTAATAAATAATACAATTTCATTAAGGTCACAAAACTTTTATATTATTGAGGTATGTACACAGCACTATTTTATAGTATTAAGACATGTACTCAATACTATTTAACACTACTGAGATATGTACTCAGTGGTATTTTACACTATTGAAATATGCACTCAATATATTATTCAGATTTTAACTCAATGCCATTTTATTCTATTAAGATATGTACTCAATGTCATTTTATTCTATTAAGATATGTACTCAATACCATTTTATTCTATTGAGATATGTCCTATATTCTATTGAAATGTAATGTTTGAGTGCCTCAGACCAACATGGCTACTCACCTGACTCTAACTATTGAAATATGTCTATAACCTCATGACAGTGAGATGCACAGACCACTTCATCTGGAGCACTTGAATTCAAACCCACTTAATCTCACTGAAGTCAATTAGTCCAAACTTCCTTTCATTTACATTCACTGGCTGCTACTCGGGTCTGTTCATTCTTGGTGGCAGCCCCAGTTTTACGGAATCCAAGGATAGGCAGTGGGCTCCCATGTCTGCCTTCTTCCAGAAAAGATGTAAGGGAATTTTGTTAAGGTGGGCAATGGGGTTATAATTAATCTGTGTGGTATTATATTAGGGGGGGGGAGTTCTTGTTTTTTTTTTTGCTGTCAAGTCACAGCTGATTTATGGGTGACCCCTTGGGGTTTTCAAGGCAAGAAATGTTCAGAAATGGCTGCTGAAAATGTGATGTGTTTTTTAAATTTTGGTTTTGGTGCCTAGGGATGATGTACAGCTCATTATCAAAGACACTCACAGTACTGAATAAACTTCACTGATCAAAAGGCATCTTTCCCCTAAACGCAACCATGGCATGTGTAGCAATGTTACACTAGTGATCCTTCTGCAAAGGCATAACATGTGAATGATATAAACTCATTTTTAAACACCCGCGCACATCCTTAGGAGAACCCTAATTGGGCCACAGCACGTGAATCTTGTAAAATGCTTTCATTTTCTGTAAGGTGGTATTCCTTTAGGAAACCTTTTTCAAATTTTCCAAGAAGCCTTCCAAAAAAATCCCTGTACGTCTGCCATGGAACACCTGCAAACTGCAGGGGGATGCTGTAGGGCAGGGCATGCAGTCCGTCCATGGGGATTGCTGATCACAAGGCTATCTTGCCTTTCAGTTGCCCTGTATGAACTGACAGCTCACTGGAGAACACCCCAAACACCCTGTAATTGTACTGGTAGCAGCGGGCAAGCTATTCTTCAGAGAATGTTGGCTCCCTTCTTTTTTTTTTAATTGCCATTGAGGATAAGTTTCTAAGAAGCCCAGGATTTGCAAGAACATAATACCACGGTCCAAAAGAAATTTTTCCAATAAAAACAGTTTGCTCTATCTTAGTGAGTGGAAGTATATGCTGGTACATAATTTGTAGAGTTACTTAATTTATACCATTCCCAGTGACCCAAAGTGGCTGACATCATTCTCTTTATTTTATCTCCCTAAGAACCCTGTAAAGTAGGTCAGGCAAGTGTGTGACTGCCTCAAGGCCACTCAGCAATCTTCTGTGGCAGAGGGGGGGGATTCAAACCTGGGTCTCTCAGACACTAGTCTGATACTCTAACCACTATAGAGAACTGCTCTCAGAGCAACCTTTGAAGATGCATTCCTCCTTATAAGCAATCAAACACCCCCTCCCCTCAGTGATAAAAAGTACAATTTATCATGCTAAAAAAGTACTAACTTCCTCACATAAGTAGAAGAGAACAGGAGATCTTTAACTGGGTATCTCTCAAATATCTCCCCACCTCTCCCCACTTTGCTGCCTACAAAATGGGTTACTGATTTTTTGCCAACTTTCTCTTAGTACAGACTAATTCATATACAGGTTCCACCACTAGAACAAACCAGGTTATGGCTACCAGCCCTCCCAGAACTGACCTTGACTGGCAACATTTCTTTTTATTACTAGAATGCAGCATATTTTGTAACCCCAGCTACCCCTAAAGCATTGTCTCATAAAGAAGAAGAAGAGATTGGATTTATACCCCGCCCTTCACTTGCAGTCTCAGAGCGGTTTACAAACTCCTTTCCCTTCCCCTCCCCACAACAGACACCCTGTGAGGTAGGTGGGGCTGAGAGAACTCTGATACAAACTGCTCTTTTAGGAACAGCTTGTGCCAGAGCTTGTGACTGACCCAAGGTCACATCAGCAGGTGCAAGTGGAGGAGTGAGGAATCAAACCTGGTTCTCCCAGATTAGAGTCCTCACACCTAACCACTACACCAAACTGGGGCAATGAATGGCATTCTCCCTCCACCCATTCCATTTTTTATCCTCACATACACATGGCTCTTAAGAAGACACATTCCAAGGTGCTATTGCAGTGGCTGTCCAGCATGAACAACAGTTACTCTGCTTCACCCCACCAGACTGTCAGTCATGGTTTACAGCTTTCCCCTCCTGCTGGCCTGTCACAAAGCAGCCTCCACACTCAGTCAAACGGCTTTCTTTACTGGAGTGTCAAACAAGGGGCAGGCTTTAAAACCTCTTGGCTTTATCACAGCCCTAGCCTCTGTTCCATCCACTGACCTCTGAACTGCAATTACTTCAGAGATGCCTAGACTCCTATGTTGAACCAACCTATTTAGCATGTGGTTAGAAGAACCAAGAAGATTGGTGCATTCATGGTAAATTTGGTGCCTTCATGGGAGCCACCAATTGTTTGAAGTAGCCTTTTCCTTTCTTTTGAGGTATTTTTGAGGGGGAGACCAACTATACTGGAATGTGAGGAACTCAGGATATTGTTCTTAGAAGAAAGGTTGCAATGCACTGTATCCATTTGGTGAGCCTGACTGACTTACTGAACATCTGGATAGTCAATTTCCCTAAGACAGACTGTAAAATTGGTTTGCAAGTATATCTCTAAGTCTCTCTTTACCTGATTACTCAACCCTTGATAACTTTCAGAAGGTTGTATGAACTGACTCCACTGAAAAGTATTCTCTCTGATCTGATGTAAGGCAACGTGGAAATTCTATCTGTAGCAATTAACGTGCAATGCCAATTTGTACAAACAAATCATTAGTTGATGGTACAAGCAATGATGAACATATATGCCCTTTTTTTTTTTTTTTTGCTTGTGAACGGAGAAGCATATAGAGGAATAATTTGAACTGCTTTCTGCACAAGCCTAAGGACACTTTTCTGGGAGTAAGCCCCATTGATTACACCACTTAAGTACACCTCAGTAGAAATCTAAGCAGACCTGCTTACGATTGCTCTCTTAATGTCCTGTGCTGTGTTTGTTATGCAGGGGGTTTTCCCCCATGTGTTTTTAATGATTTTTAAATGATTTTATGGGATTTGATATTTTATTATGTTATATTTTATAAGCCTTCTCAGGCAGATTCCCTGGAGAAGTGGCATAAAAATGTTCTAAATAAATATATTAAAAACATGTGTGAATTAAATCAATGTGTTTTGTTCTGTCT